AAATCCACCGCCTCCGAATCCACTGCCACCTCCAAATCCTCTGCCTCCTCCAAAGCCAGAGCCACCTCCGAAGCCAGAGCCACCTCCGAAGCCACCACCGCCTCCGAAGCTGCTGCCGCCTCCAAAGCCACCAAAGCTGCTGCCGCCTCCGAAGCCGCCGCCGCCGCCTCTGCCACCAAATCCACTGCCGCAGCCAGCCACGCTAGTAGAGATGCTCTTGTACCCTCCGAGGCCAACAAGACTCTGACTGCCAAAGCCACCTCCACCAGAGCCTCCTCTGCCACCACCATGGCGGCTCAAGCAGGAGAAGCCGCTGGTTGATCTCCGGCCCCCTCCAGAGACCACAGCCGAACCACTGCTGAAGCCACGGAATCCTCCACCACCTCCTCCGCCTCCTGCTCTTCGAGACTTGCACGAGATCTGACAGCTCATGATGGTTTTTTACTCAGCAAGGGAAGTAGAAGATCCAAGAAGATCCAAGAAGAACCTGGAGACTGAACTGTGCTCTTGGGAGACTCGCAGGGTCCCCTTATATATCTGCCAACTAGGTGTTGGTGAGCTTGGGTGTGGGCCCGCTTATGCATGGGTTTGGTCTGCCTGGAAGCTATTCTCGGTGAGTGATTATCAACCTAATGGCCATTAAAACATCTACTAATCAGCTCCACTCCAGAACCTGCTTCGATTGCGAACTCCTGTTTATCTGCGCATCTGTCACGCAATTTGATTTTTGTAAAATCATCAAAGAAGAGATTAGGATTTGCGTTTCTCAACTTGAAAAAAAAAATGTCCTGCAAAATGCTGCTCCCTGTTCTGGACCGACCCATGGGAAGCTGGCCACCACCCATGCCTGTGTGGGCTTACTATCTAGCTTACCAGGGGAGGAAGGTGGGATTTGAGGCTCTGAGAGCACGCACTCCAGCTTTCCAGCTCTCTTGCTTCCCTGTGGCCCAAGGGGGATGGGAAGACAGTCTCTACATATGGTGACTGTGGTGGAGAATCAGCCTTTGCTTATAAAGAGGAACGGGCCTGCCATGCTGCAACAGTGTAGCATTTATCAGCTCATCTCAGCCCCCTTCTTCCCAGGCCACACCAAACATACACATGGCCGAGCATTAGGGAAGGGATCCTTTTCAGCCCTGTCACCACCAACTTTGACGACCATCAACTCTATCGATTTCTGCATGGGAGCTGAGGGGATGAAGGGGGGAAGGGGCAAGAGTTCTGCTCTGAAGTCTGTGTGACTCAGGGCCCTCGTGAAAGTCTCGCAAAGGCCACATGGCTTTGAGATCCAAGAGTGGACCAACTCTTGCTCAGAAACCGTGTACTGCCTTGTGATTCGGAAGGCCATGAGAAGGCAGGCTCTTCACTGCCTTCAAAGACGGGTGAGCTTTGGGGAACCCAGCCAGTCTGTCTATGCAGGGTCATCAGCTGCACATGCTATGTTCACACCAAATCCGGGCAGCCTCTCCTGTTCAAGTGGCTGCTCACGGGACAGATGCTGCAGAGAAACAGAACCAACGCCAAATCAGAGGTTCTAGGTTTACATCGCAGTCTGGCCATGTATTGGCTTATATGACCTTGAATTAAACTTTGTGGTTTCGTTGCCTTAGCTACGGAGTAGAAAACTGATATGCAATGTTTTGGTAACTATACTATCATAAATGTTAAATGCTGTTATTTTGAGTGAAACAAAGGCATTTTCTTTTCCTTTCAACCTCAGTGTGCTAGTCTCTCTTCTAATGGCTTAGGTCACACTTTCACTGTTTGAGAGAAATGGCATTGTATAAGTCACATTCTGTGAGCCTCGGTTGCTCGGTTTCCTCGGCTATAGAAAGCAGGGGAGGAGGAAGAAAGAAGGGAGAAGAGAAAGAGAGGGAGGAACAGGAATAGAAGAAGGAGGAGGTGGAAGAGGAGGAAGAAGAACACATTGCAGGATACAATGCTAGTTAATGACTGAAACTTGATGCATTGGATTGAACCCTCTTCTTCTCCCCTTCCCGGCCCTGTGTGGTAACCACACAGCGGGGTGGGAACAGAGATAAGGACGGGGAACGTGTTGGGCTGTTTGATTTACAGTGAAAGATGCTGAACGAAGCTGAACGAAGCAGCCCAAGAGTCTCCTCGATTTTTTTCCCAATCCAGCTTATATAATTACAATCATGCAAATCAACTATAGAGCTAAAAGCTCCAGAGTCTCACTCCAAAGCCAAATGTGTCATTATCTATGGATATCTCAGCAACGCCCTAATTGTCCATTGCTCCACATATGACTCTGCTGAGGCCATGCCAGATTCAGAGGGTCTTAATCCCTAAGTGAAGAAAAGGAATAAACACGCAGGGGGCATTTGCTGCGTCCTAGTTTTGTGCCCAGTGCCTGGTCAACACAAACATTTTAATTCTGCTCTCTCGAGTCTCCACTGAGCACCTGCCCCTTCTAGACCCAGCCTGTGGTGTGTGAAAATCAATTTGGGGAAGAATCCTCTTCGTCTATTGAAAAGTGGAGGTTAGAAGTGTGGAGATTTTATTTCTATGTGTTTTGTTTTTAATTTAACCTTTTTAAAAATAATTTTGATGTATTTTTTTTAAATATAGCATGTTTTGCATTATTAAAGGGGGTGAGATGGGAATTAAGACCCTTGGTCTGGCTGTGGTTTGATGTTTATGTCCATGGGAATCTTAATCCCACCCAGATCCTCAGATCCTCACTGTGTTACAAAGACATTAGCTCCCGTGAAAAGGACAGTTTTTGTCTCTCAAAACAGAGCAGGAATGCTGCGGCACAAACCCCTTCCTGCTGCCAGCAAGCTCAAGCCCCTGGTGCTTCTCAGGGGTTTGCAAAAGCCTGTCTGCTGGCCAGTGGGGCAGAACACTGAGGCCTCGGTGGTAAGCAGAGGGAGAGTCATTCTCTAACCCACAGAAGTGAAGTTGAAGCAGAGGTGGGTGCTGAGAGCAGGAAGTCTTCTGCTCCACACCGCCTTAGCAGCATGTCCCTTACAGCCTCCTCGGCACAATGTTCCCCATGTTATAATGAACCTGCTCCTAGACTTACGCAGAGAAGAGCCAAGGTCATATTCATCTTTACCAGAAACCTCCCTCTCCCAGCGTAGTCACCCCAGGAATAAGCCTGTGACCAAAACCTCCTCATTTCTGAGGTTTGGTTTGGGACTGCAGGCTGGCCCTGGTCCAGGACTACAGTGGTGAGCTTGCCTGAGTCTTTGCGGCCTCCCCTGTAGAGTCCCTGAAGATCTGGGAATGGTCACACGTCTCTGTGTCTCTCTAGCAGGGTTCCCTCTTCCTAACCTCGAACCAGCTCATCTCCCTTTCCCAACGTCTGTGCATTAGCTGAACAGAATAAATACCCAGGCACTCTCAGGATACTAAATAAGTGTTTGGGTTTTTTTAAAACAAAAAATAAAACAAACCACAGCCCTCCTCCTCCAGCCCCTGATTGCTGAAAGTGGCAAAAAACCAGAGTAGAGCCAGTCCCACGGTGGCCAGTGAGCCTGCACTGCCTGCAGCCCCCTTCTGTTTCCCTCCCAGCACCAGGACGCTGCTCCAAAGAGCACCACCATGGAGCCAGTGGCTGCAAGCAAAGGTGGGTCAGCCTGGCAGACGCCCAGCGGGAGCCACTTGCTCAACTTCTTCCTCCGGGGCCTTTCTTTCCAAACGATTATTCTAAACTGCTTACTCAGTCCAAGTCCCAGGCCCTGACCCAGTTCCCCATCCCGACTCAAGCCTCCCCTTCATGTCTTACCTAACCTGTTCATTTTTCAGTAGTTTGGGCTCTGTTCGCCCCCCCCCCCTCTTCTGAAAGAAAAGCATGGGACCGCTGGCTTTAAGGGGCCCTCGTCAAACTGGCTGTTCCTGGAAAGGCTAAGTGGCAGTTCCCTTCCTCTGCAGGACAGTCCCAGAAGGAGGACATTCCAGGACACACATGTCGGCTTCTGGGAAAAGCAGGGTGTGCAAGCTTCAGAGGCAGATGGACAATGAGGACAGGAGTGGGCAGGGCCCAGTGGCCAGCAGGCATCTGTCATACGTTTGTGGAATGTAGTAATTGGTGAAAAACAAATCAATAAGTCAATGAAAGAAAACACTAGCATAGAACTTGGTAATGAATGAAAGTCACTTCCTTTCCCTTTTGCTGTGGACATATATGACACATGTAATTTAATTTTAATTGTGTGTGTGTGTGTGTGTGTGTGTGTGTGTGTGTGTTTGGGTGTTTTGAAATGGGGTCCCATAACCCAGGCTAGCACTGAGCTCAAGGCCCTCCAGCTCTAGGCTCCCAAGTGTGAGGATTATAGACATGTACTGCCATGCCCAGCCTTCTGGCCCAGAAAACTGTATTCTGTATTGTGGATTTGCTCTCTACATGGTGGATCTGCAGCTGCATCTACTCAGCTTTTTGTGCAGGCATCGTAAAGGTTCATGGAGACCTGTGCCCTGTTGGCTAACATGGTACATAAGTGTGGTCCCATGCCTTCATTCATACAGAGAAAACTGTCATCCATGGACAGCACTACTGTTCCAGCCACAACCCTCCTTCCAGAGATACAGTTACCACATTCTCCCCGGCCAGATCCGGGCACTGTCCATTTCCTACAAAGCCACTCAAACCTAGAAGAACCAGGTCGTCAGATACCCGACCCTAGGCAGAATCCAAACAGGAGCATCATCGCAGCTGTGGGGTCATGTGGTCCTCATGGTTCAGAGACTCCCCAGGCTCTTCACATTTAGTGTTCCCCCCGTCTCACCCAGCCTCTCAAAAGTGGGGGGCCCTCCTACCAATCCCATACCACACTGCCACCACTGACTGTCCTAATTCACACCTGGCTTCCCCTCCCCTCCCCTCCAACGCCAGTAGGAAGAGCTCCTTCTTCTTGTCAGAGTTCCCGTATTGCCTCTGTGGGGATAATCGTAGGCGGAGGCTGGTGGAGCGAAGCCCTCTCCCCCAAAAAATGAATCAAAATATGCATTGAAACAAATTTTATTTTGAAAGTCTAAATTTGAGCAATCCCTGCTGCTCTGTCTAGCAATGAACTTCTTATAAAAACCATCTAAAACAAGCACAGGCTTTACTCTTGGGTGAGATTTGGAGAAAGGCAACTGTTCAGAACTCTTTGAATAGCTTTGCGTTTCTTGACATCGAAAACAATGGATCTTGAGAATTCTTCTTTAAAAAACCCTTTAAATCCAAAACAAAACAAAAAAAATCAAATGAAACCATTGCTAATTAAGTGGTTAAAAACAGAGCTATTACAGTCATTCACCCCGGCTGTATTAAATTTATGACCTGAATTATATTTTTATGGGCTTTGGGCACACTTCACAGCCCATTGGGTATTCAGAGAAGTGTGTTCACCTCTGGTTAACGGACTTAGAAGCGAAGCTGTGTGCTAACCCAGGAAGAGTGCTTAGAAGCAAAGGTCAAGTCCTTGGACCATGTGCCTGTCACCTCACATGTCACCTCACTCAGCCCCATTCGTTGCCTGTGGACCGAAGGCCTTAGTGACCATCAGAGAGCCGCTTGGAGAAGGTGTCAGAGGACCTGGGTCCCCTGACTCGTGACCACTCTGGGCCCAACCCCTAGCCATTCTGGGCCTTGGGTTTCTCCTCTGTGAAATGTGGGTGCTGGACTCCAGAGCCAAGGGGTTCAGATAACAACCATGCTTCAAGAACTTCCAGAGATAAGCCCTTTTGAGGGCTGAGGCAGCTCTTGGGGAGCCTAGGGACAAAATATGCTATGCAATCCCTGTGTCCAACCATTCCCAGTCAGGTTCAAAAAAAGGTGGACTGCAGGAGCCCTGCAGAGCGGAGAGGAAGGGAGAGTAGTCAGATGTCAACAGCTGGTGACCGGGTTTTGCCTGCGGGGTGAACAGACATTATAGACAGATGTTAGGATCTGGACAGACAAGCTTCCTTGTATTTGGTGCCCCCAATCTGAGCTCCTGGGGGTGGTCATCCCTGATCCTTCAGAGATGTCTAGAGCAGACCCACACATAGACACCTCTTTGAGACTCCTTTTTGTCTCCAAAATGGAGCTGAACCACTGTGAACCAGCTCTGCAGCTCTGCTCTCTCCCCGTCCCTCAGCGTCCTCCTCCTCCAAGGCACCAGGGCAGGTGGCCACTTCACCTTCCCTCCTGGGGTACCACACCCACCATGCAGGAATACTTTAAAGAAATCTCTAAAAGACTGGAGTCTCTGGCCATGTGTAATTATCTCCAAGCCTCTCTCAGACACCAGCACCTAAACTGTCCGCTGCCCACCTCGACCCACCTGCCTTGTCTGGGTCTGCGTGCCTCCGTGCTGTGTCTCCCACATGGAGGAAGACCCAAAGATGCAGGTGTCATCAAGTGTCTGAACAGAATCCTCACTGCAGGTTTAACTCCACGCCAGCCGTTCCCTGTCAGGCAGAAATAATGTCTCTGTAGTAAGAAAAATTATAATGTCAGAATTTTACGATGAAGATGTTATACAGGCTTGTCCAGGCAAATCCATGAAGCCAGATCATTGCCAACATACATTATCATTGCCCTGCCAGGTACAGATGCTGGGAAGCAGGAAGAAGGGCCTGGCTTCGCCAACCAGGTCTCCCCAGACCCCTCCCATGCCACAGAGAAGACAGCATCTGGAGTTACTGTCCCCCAGGAGCAGAGCAGGAGACAGGGGGCCAAAGCTGCCGCTCCACTTCTCTGTGGCATCCTTGGTGGGACCGGAAAGTCCTCTCATTGGATCAGTACTTCCGTGTGTGTGTGTGTGTGTGTGTGTGTGTGTGTGTGTGTGAATGTGTGTATGTGTATGTCTGTGTGTGTGAGTCTGTGTGTCTGTGTGTGTGAGAGTGTATATGTGCATGTGTTTCTGTGTGTGTGTGAATGTTGTGTGTTCAGTGTGTCTGTGTGTATATTTTAGTGTATGTGTGTGAGTGTGTCTGTGAGTGTGTTTCTGTGTGTGTGAGTGTTGTGTGTTGACTGTGTATGTGTGCATGTGTGTGTCTGTGAGTGTGTTTCTGTGTGTGTGAGTGTTGTGTGTTGAGTGTGTGTGTACTTTCCTATTCTCATTCTCAATCTGCTAACAACCCCATGAGAGGAGAATCATGACAGATTGGGAAATGGGGACAGAAGAGTTTCTCCAAGGTACACAGAGTCTATGCCCAGGACATTTGTTTATGGTGTTCATCACAGGGATTCCCAGCATCTCTGCGAACTCCAGACGGTTGGTGGTGCGGTGTGCTCACCCTCCTGACTTCCTTTCCACCTGCCCCTCCCCCCCCCACCATTCCACCCCAGCTCTCCTGAGCTGGTAACCCCAACAGATGTCTTTGTTCCTTTAAACTTATGCTCCTTGTTCTTCCGTCACAGCTCTGCCTCCACTTCCCCTTCTTCTCTTATTCCAGGTTGAGTGTCAAGGAACACTTGGGTTCTCAGATCGCCAACTCCTCAGCTTGGTTCTTAAGCAGGAGTCCCTGGCTGGACTCGGGGCCACCTGCATGAAGTAGAATGCTGACCCAGGAGCAGTTTCTTCCTTGAGAAGGAATCTCACATGTTCACAGGCTTTATGACCTAAATATATTCGCCTCTGTCCTGAACTGCCCTGACTTCCCTGTGTTTCTCACCAGCTGCTCCAGGCCATGGCGCCCAGAACCAACGTTGGCACATGACAGTGCCCAATCAGATCCCGATTGGCTGTCTTTTCCTAGGCCACTGCTCCCTAAGCACATACCAAGACACGTGTGGAGAGAACTTTGCTGTGTCTGGATTCTCTTGGTTTCTGCTCACACCCCAGAGGGTGGAGATGGTGGGTGGGCCGGCACAGAGTGGGAGGGGCTGGGGGAGTGTTGAGCCACAGGACTGGGAGAGAGGAAAAGAACTACAAACTGTCAGGCTGATGAGGAAGAAGAGCAGACCCCTGGCTCTCTGAAGTCTCGGGAGTCCAGATGCCACAAACTGGAAGGGACAGGAAATCTTGTCATCCTTCCTCTCTGTGAGGAGAGAGCGTAGCTTACCTCCTATCGGGTGTGTGACATCAGCAGGAAACTTTTAAAGGACATATTTCAGAGACCCTTGTCCTGTTGACTTTGGGAACACAAAAACAGTGTGAAGACAAACAGTTAAGAAAAGAGGGAATGGCCTACTTTACCCAAAGCCCTGCTTCGGGTGCAGTGGGAGTCCAGGCGTAAAGCTGGGCTGCCACCGCACCATAGGGAGTACCCAGCCTGCCTGGGAGAAGGCCGTGACAGCAGAGCGAGGACTGCAAGACAGAGTGCGAATCCCTGAGTTCCAGGGTTCTCCGGAAGAAGACACGAAGGACGGTCCACTGGGTAAATGACTGGACCTGAGAGGGAAGGCAAAGCACCTGGGAAGCAGGGAGCCAGTGCTGGAGGATGGACACATTCGCCCAGCTCCTCCCTCAGATTTGGTCTCTTACTCACTACACACCCTCCTGGGTTCTCCTTTCACATCCTTCCTCCCTAGATGAGCACTGAGACTCGGAGCCCTGCTCCTGCCTGGGAGTGCTCCAGCTACAAGAGATACCTGCCCCTGGCACCATGCAGTCTGGCACCATGACCCATCCTGAATCACACTAGATCAGGCAAGAACCCACTTTACCTTGAAAAGCAGATTTCGCCTATGTCCCAAACAATAGCACCTGTCTGCCACCCAACGGCGAGCAGTCCTGCTCCCCAGTTCCCCTACGACACTGGAAAGGAAAGTTGCCCAGCCGAGGAAAGGGTTCTCTCCCCGTCATTTGGGGCTTCTCTCTGCCCTACGCTCAGTATTTATTGTCAATGCCTGTGGTATCCCCATGGGAATGATTTTGAGGGATTATCTATTTAGGGGAGACAGCGATGATTCTAATCCTGGCAATGGGGCCCTTCAACGAACATGGCATCGGTGCTGTCCTGAGCCCAGGCTGTCTGAAGGAGGGTTGGCGGGTCTCCAACCCCAAGCCCCGCTCTGGTTATGCACTCATGAAGGACACAAAGGACACGTTACCCACCCTGCACCGCTGGACTGAGGCCCGGCTTCATCACTGATTACCCTCTGGACCTTGCAAGGGTGACCTACCCCTGGTTGGCCTCTGTCTCCTGACCTGTGAAGAAAAGATAACAGTGCCAGGATTAGCTAAAGGACCAGCTGTGCCCACAACATTCAGCACGGCCCCCAGCGCAAAGCATATGTGTCCCCTTGTCCACGGTTTGCCCCTTCTTCCTGCCAATCCCAGCCAGCTCTGGGCTCCTCCCCCGGGCCGGTGCCAGGCATCCAGCCCTTATATAGCAGCTTTGGGGAATGGACTTCCTCATAATAAATGGATTTTGCTTTTTTTTTAGTGTGTGTGTGTGTGTGTGTGTGTGTGTGTGTGTGTGTGTGTGTGTGTACACACTCATGTAGCATGTTGGGGAGGTTCCTGTGGAGGACAAAAGATTCCCCTGAAGCTGAAGTTACAGACAGCTGTGAGAGCTGACCACCATGGATGTTGAGGACCGAACCCTGGACCTTTGGAAGAGCAGCAAGCATTCCTAACTGCCAAGCCTCCTCTCCAGTGCCACTTTTGCTTTTAGAGGAGCTTCTCATTGAAATTTCAGCTGCACGTATTTGTGGGGCAGAGGGCAATGACTCAACAGGGGTGGCCAGCATTCACCGATCAAGCCAAGGCATCCACATTTCTACTCCAGGGAAGGTACTTGCGTGCTTGAAGACACAGGAAAATGAAGAAGGACATATCTCTTGGCCATCAGGGAAGTGGTCCTGCCCGGGAACCTCAGATGCACCTCATTCTACACTCGGTACCTTGTCAAGGAGGAGCAGCAGGGACAGAGCCCCTGCAGGTCACCCCTGTACATGTCATTCGCTTTGGCAACCTCCCCTTGAAATAACTATGGTCAGCACTAAAGCATTTCACACACAGTAGAGTCTCTAAGGAGCAAAGAGGACTGCTGAGGACCACAGATCCCACATCTGTCAGGGATCCCCACATCTGTCAGCTCCACCCTCTCTGGCCCAATTCCCTGCACTGGGGGACAATAACTGAGCTGAGGTTTTCTGCCCCGTGAAGGGGTTTCTCCCTCCTGGCCTCTGCACAGACAGCTCAGAAACCTGGCAGAGATCCCCTTAGCTACTTGCTGTCTTAACATTTAAGAGGACAAGGCCCAGCTGAGTGACTCGTGGAGGTCGGTGACAAAGCAGGATCCCGGCCCAGCTGCTCCCTCACCAACCTGTACCAGCCCAGCTGCTCCCTCACCAACCTGTACCAGCCCAGACAGCACTAATTTCACAGCCAGAACAAAGGGCTCAGGAGCAAAGCTCAGGAGCAGAGGCAGGGGCCTAATCAACACCGCAGTCAACACTCAATTACCCATAATGATGGGAAGTAGGAGCACACAGTTGTGTCCTTTACAGCCGTCTAAATCTTTCATTGCAATGCTTCCTTCCCTTGGGGCTGTCAGGGCACCAGATCAGCTGCACCTCCCTACTGGCTTCCCTGTAGATGGGCCAGGAAAGGGGCTGATTAATTTTGTTCAGGACCAAGTTGCCCAACCCCCGCCTCAGCAGTCACGGGTTGGTGGCAGCTTTGCCGTGAAATGACTGCATTTCCCCTGCTCCTGCTAAGCATACACCTCTCTGCGGTGGCACGTGGCAGGCTACATATACCAGTGAGGCGGCCCAAGGCTTCTGACACACCACCTTGCCTCCAAGCCTGATGTCTTTACCATGGAAATCCTTTCAGTCCATTGTAAAACCAAGAGAGGATGGATGAGGAGGTGCAGCCAAAACCAGAGCACTCCTCCCCCGGAGCCCAGAAGGTTTTCTCTAATCCCAAACACACCTTAGCAGTTAGCACAGTGGGAATGGAGACACCCAACTGTTTCGCAGTACATGCCGATCATGGGTGATCTCGCCTGAGAATTGTTTCATTCTTTCTTCGGGAACACAGAGATAGATATCATGTTCATCACTTGCCTGGAATGTTCTTCCAGCCTCACCAGGTACAGGACAAGAGGAAATCAGCTATGCTGACATCAGGGGAAACTTACACCAATGGCCATGGTGAATAAAGAGTGCAAATGTTGAGTGTGAGGCAGTCCAGGGTTTGGGAACAGAAAGCTGAGTCTAGGCTCCGTCTCCTACACCACTTCTACAATTCCATACAATCGAGGTTGAATGAGACAGGCGGGTGACAACCATCCAAACTGGAGACTGACTTACAGGCTCTTCTTTTGAGATGAGAAATGCCTGGGGATCCTGTCTACCCACCCATCCCTTCTCCACCCACGACCTTGATCCACTCTCCAAGACCCAACCCAGGCCTGCTTTCTTCTGGACTGGTGGACCAGAGACCTGTGCCATGGGGTCCCTCCCTCTGGTTTCTGTCTGTTTAAGTCACTAAACAACAAGAATTCCCTGCTCATCTGTAGTGTACAACATACACTCTACTGTATCCTTGGGATGAAAAGGTAAAGACACGGTCCCCTCCCTCAAGAAAGTCATTATCCCATGGATGAGAGACTCATGAGCCAGGGTACCATAGAGCTATACACTGTGGAGGTGATGTGCTGGTCAGTGTTTATGGAGGAAAGCCCTGATTTGGAGTATTTTCTAATTTATGTGGTGTAAAAAAACACCCACCATGGCTAACTTCAAGCTATCACGTGAGATGATGGACTATAGCTAAAAACAAAGGCACTCAGCTGGTTTCTGTGAGCTGCCACACCACCAGACATGCCTACCAGGAAAAAAGAAAATAGAATTAGAAAAAGTGATGCAAGAGCTGGGGAAGAAGGAAACCTGAGAGCTGGTTTTCAGAGGACCGATGTGTGTTACGCGCAGAAAAGGAAGAGGGGAACTCTGAGATGAGGAAGCATTTGCATAAAGATGGGTCCGTTTGGTTCATTAGCAGATAGCAATTCCACACCTCTCCCTAGGCCTGGCCTAGGCAAGAACATCCCCAGTAACACTCCCGACAGACGGATGTGAGAAGTGTCCTATGTAGGTTCTCAGCCAGGACCCCATGACCTTGCCACCTTCTTCCACAGGACTAACCCCAGCAGGTCCTGCCTCTGTGGCATCTCAGGAGAACCTGCTTGGTGTATCTGAGGGGCAGCTGTCATGGCGATAACATCTGAAGCAGGATATCTTACTAAAGTTAAATGTTTGGTGTGGTTCATGGTTTGTCTCCTGAATTGGGTGAACTTGATGGACAGGTCTTTAAAAAAAGATGAGTGACAAGGATATGGAGGTAGCTCAGTCAGCAAAGTGTTGTGTCAGCGTGAAGACCTGAATTCAGTACCCAGCGCCCACGCAAGAAGCCAAGAGTGGCTGTGTGCGCCTGTAATTCTGGGCCGTACTGACCGGCTGGCCTGCCATACTCAGGGAGACACAGGCTCCAGTGAGAGACCCTGTCTCAGGAAAACAGGCAGACAGCACCCGAGAAACAACACCAAGTTGCCTCCTGTGTATACACACACACACACACACACACACACACACACACACACACACACACGGGAAAAGAGAAAGAAGGGTGATAACAAGACAGCAGCACCCCAAAGGCTGCTCATCCCAGGGCAGAGCTGACGGCATCTACCCATGACTGAGGCCTTTGGCTTGCCTTTCTAGTAAAATCAAGACAAGGGGCTTCACATCACCCGGAAACGGTCTCAGAGGCTAGGCTACCCTGGCACTGCTGCATGGCATGTTCCTCAGAACGGCAACATCCCCTCCAGAGTGGAGCATTTGCTCCTAGAGAGATGGAAGGCTCTGGAGCGGTGGGTCTCAACCTTCCTGACGCTGCCACCCTTCAATACAGCTCCTCACGCTGTGGTGACCCCCAACCATAACATTATCTTTGTTGCTACGTCCTAACTGTAATTTTGCTACTGTTATGAATCGTAATGTAAATATCTGTGTTTCCCGATGGCCTTAGGCGACCCCTGTGAAAAGGTCATTTGACTCCCAGTGGGGTCATGACCCACAGGTTGAGAACTGCTTCTCTAGAGCCTGGAGTAGTGAAAAAAGTCAGGTCTCTAGGAGGAATAGAAGCTAGAATTCCTGAGGGCTTCTACCAACAGAACAAAAGGGATTGAACAATGGGTAGGGGGAGAGACTTTGGGTCAGCCAAACTGAGAAGATGTTTAGATTGTGGGGTTGACTGAATAGAGCTCGGGGTTGCAGGTTTTAGGGAGTCATCTCCTACGTCAGGTGGGCTTTCTGCTTCTGAACTACCCCTGCACCACATAACTAACCCCTCATCTGTACTCCTGTTAGTAAGCCCAAAACAACCTCCTTGGCTCACAAAATTAGACATTGTTGCAATGGTCTTCATGGGCTCCCTTTTCTGAGGTGAGTAAACGTGTGTGTGTGTGTGTGTGTGTGTGTGTGTGTGTGTGTGTGTGTGTGTGTTTGGGTATGTGAGTAGATGTGAGTGTGGGTGTTTGAGCATGTGTGAATGAGTATGTGTGTTTGAGTGTGGATGTGTGTGAGCTTGTGTGTGTGTGACTATGTGAATATGTGTGTGAGTGTATGAGTGTGTGTGTGTGAGAGCATGTGAAAGTGTATGTGATTGTGTTTTAGTGTGTAAGTGTATGTGTGTGAGTGTGCATTTGAGTATGCTGTGTTTGAGTGTTTGTGAGGGTGTCTGTGTGTGTTTGAGTGTGTGTATGAGTGAGTGTAAGAGTGTATTGTAAGTGTGCATGTGTTTGAGTGTGTGCAAGCATGTGTGAATGTGTGCGTGTATGCAAATGTATGAGTTTGTGTCAGTGTGTGCATGAGTATGATTGTATGTGTGTTGTGAGTGTGTGTGAGTGTGTGTGTATGGTATCTCTTCAGGGAAAGTCTGTCACACAACACTGACACAGCTTTCCCTATCTAGATCTTCTAACATTGCAGCACCCACTTTGCCCATGGCCAGTTCCCCACTAGTAAATGATTATGTGGCTTACTGCACACCCCCAACTCCCCACCTGATCCCCGATTTCAGGAGGTATTAGCTCTCTGTGGTCTTTCTAAAGAGATGACTAGTCCCCTCTCCTTGCTGGGCCTGCCGCCCCCAAGAATGGCGCTAGGGACCTCTCCAGTCCTGCAAAGTACAAATGCCATTGCTTCTCCGGCCAGGCTCCCTCCCCTCCCCACCACTCCCAGCCCAGCCCCGCACAGGAAACACTGTCCTGGCACGTGCTAGCTAGCAAGGAAAGCCAGGGAACGTGTTGTAGATCGTGGAGCGCACTTCACGAGGACACACTTCTGTACCTGAAGCAGTTTGAAGACTCAAAATTAAAGACCCCATATGCTGCTTCTTAGTGATGTTAAACCTATTTTAAAAGAGTCAGAAATAAATAAAGGATGACCCTGCCACTCATTAAGGCCTCCCAAATCACTCAGGTGACAGAGGCACATCATATCTCAAACACGGGGACATGGAGAGGTTAAAATGGAAGGGGTCCTCTCTTAGCATATCCTCCTAGAGATTGCGGCATTTGTCTGGACCTTGAGTGAAATGTCATTTTTTAATTCTTTACATTTACTTATTTCACCTCATGTGTGTGAGTGTTTTGATTGTGTGATATGTCTATGCACTATGTGCATGCCTGGTGTCCAGAAAGGCCGGAAGAAGGCATTGGGTCTCCTGGGGCTGGAGTTATAGATGACTGTGAGCCAATGTGTGGTTGCTGAGAATCAAACTTGAATCCTCCGGAAGAGCAGCCAGTGCTCTTAACCACGGAGTCGTCTCTGTAGCTCCCAAATGGTATTTCTTTAAAGTACTAGGAATAGAATAGCACCTCACGCATGTCAGGCAAGAGCTTCGTCACCCCAGATCTCAGCTTAGGTTGCCTGGGCTGGCCTTGAACTTGGGATCCTCCTGCCTCTGCCTCTGCCTCTGCCTCTGCCTCTGCCTCTGCCTCTGCCTCTGCCTCTGCCTCTGCCTCTGCCTCTGCAGCAGCTGGGATTATACCTACTCTACCAGGCCTGTCTGAAAATGTCTATTTTAAACGTCCTAATAATTGTATGTACTTTGCAGTTCCGGCTGCAGAGTCAAGAACAAACATGGAAGCCATCATTTCTCATAGAGGTGACTTTTTATTCCTTTCTATCTTCTTTCATATTGCTATTACATTGTTTGTGGAATTTTTAGATTGAGGGTAAACAATAGGCCCTAACGACCTCAAATGAACTATTTCCATTCCCCGTCCTGTAAATATCCTGGTGAGATGGTAGACCATTACTACAGCTACAGAGAAGAGTGTGGGAGTGGAGGAACTGCAGCAGGCACAGCACCCCACCCCCACCCCACCCCACCCCCACATCCCCCACCCCTGCACCCCCCACTCCCCCACCCCGTCCTTGGCATCTTTACAGTCCCTGTCTGCGAGATTTTGAGCCACACTGCATATGTACCAGGAACCTGGGCAGGATTAAATCATTCCAAAAACTGAACTCTTTTTAAAAAGAGTTCTATATTTTCAGTTTATGTGCATAAGTGTTTATCATCTGCACATATGTATGTGTAGGCAATAGGCCCATGCCTCATGCCCATGGAGGCCAGAAGAGGACACTGGATCCCCCGGAACTAGAGTTACAGATGGTTGTGGGCTGCCATGTGGATGCTGGGAATTGAACCCAGGTCCTCTGCAAGATCAGCCAGTGCTCTTAACCACTGAGCCATCTCTCCAGCCCCTAGCTTTTTTTTTTTTAACTGAACAAGCAAAAATGTTCTCCAAAAAGCCTACAAGGTAGCCCAAGGCAAATCCCGGCCTTTACAGTTTTTAAAATAGATGGTCAAAATATTCTAGAAGTTCAGTCCAGGAACCTGAGACTATCTGGCATGGGAAAGAAAGAATCTGGAAGATGTGGGACGAGAGTGGGGAACAGACAGACATGGGATCGCGCAATTGGAAGAGATCTGCCTTCTACCCAAGGCTTGAGTTCGCTCTATAGCGCCCCCTAGCTGGAGTCACCTCCGTTCAGGGAGCTTAACTCATTCTCAAAGGACAGCCCCTGCCATGCAGACTGCTGGGCCTGGGTGAACGTTCTTTAGAGTGGCCGCTATAATTCCTAAGAAGCCTGACCCTCTTCCATGCAAGAGTGGTGTGGTTCATCTTCACCAAAACTGGCCATCACACCCCAGCCTCCATCACCATCTCTGATCTTTCAAGTCCCCTTTCTGTTCTCTCTCTCTCTCTCTCTCTCTCTCTCTCTCTCTCTCTCTCTTTCTCAATGCGTTGAGGTTTTGCCTGCATTCATGTCTGTGTGAAGGTGTCAGATCATCTGGAACAGGAATTACAAACAGTTGTGAGCCGCCATGTGGGTGCTGGGAATTGAACCTGTGTCCTCGGAAGAGCAGCCAGTGCTCTTAACCACTGGGCTGTCCCTCCAGTGCTCAGGACTGAGCCCAGTCTCCAGGGATAAGACCTTGCACCTTCTGCCAGCGAATCCCCATACCAAGAGGGATCGAGCGGCCTCCCCACATCTTCACACCCAGTGAACAGAACAAAGGAAATCGCTTTTCCTGCTGTCACTGCCAAGAATCGTCCTGAGCTGTTCCGACTAAAGCGTCTTCCCTCCCTGGACCCAGAAGCCTTGCCCAGCTAGTCCCGGCAGCAGCGTCTGTGTGTAACGACACCTCTGTACCAGCAGAGGACACTCCACACTGCCTAGACAGAACAAGAAGGACCTATTGACAGATTGGAAACTGGGTGTGGGCCCCTGGGAGGGGTGGGAACACCTCGGCATGAACCTGGGAAGGTCACAAGTTGACTAAGACAGCGCCATTTTTCTGATAATGGATGGGCAGGGAGTGTCAGGTGTCCTCCAGCAGATATGGGAGGAGCGAGAACGTGACACAGTGGTGCAGGGCATCATGGGTATCCATCCTTTCATCAAAGACCTAAAATTTACCGGCACCACCCAGATGTCTCGTGGGCATCTTCCCGCCCCTTCTGTCTGGCACAAGGATCCAGCCAAGCTTTGCTTTAGAGAGCCGTTCTATAGACCACATCTGTGCCTTCCCTCTGCAGCTGCCTGCAGGCCGCATCTTCAGGGAAGGGGCCTCTGCTGCTTACCTGACAGCTCCCCCCTGCCTGTATCTTGACCTTGCCCTGGCTCTTCTCAACTTGAATCCTCGGTCCCTATGGACTTCTCTTCCAGGCTGCTTCTTGCAATTCACTCCCCTCTCAGTTTCCATGACAGCGATTAGTGGCAGCTCCCTTAACACAGTTAACTGTTTGTTTTCTTCTTCGTCTGTAGGCAGAGTGGCCCTTGGGTTTTGTTTCTAATCATCTTCTCTCTACGACCACCAAGGTGTTTTCAAGAGAAGTAATTCCAGACGGATGGATGAAATTTTAAAACAACGGCAGGAACCTTTGGGCTTAGATCGTTCCAAATACTCACCAGAGTTTGCAAACAGTAAGGACAAAGACGATCAAGTTTTAAATTGCCCTTCAGCAGTGAAGGTGCTGTCCCCAGAAGATGGAAAAGCGGGTGCTGTGAGAGCTGCCCAGGACTTTTGCCGGTTAGTAGCTCAGCAGCAGAGGAGACCCACAGATCTGGATGTAGATCTGCTAGACGGCTTACTTAGTTCACACAGTTTCCCTGGCCCTGATTTAGTGTTGAAGTTTGGTCCTGGGGACAGCATGTTAGGCTCTCTTCCCTGACAAATCAGATTGACTGAGATCATCTCTTTGCCTTCTCACCTAAACATCAGCTATGAGGACTTTTTCTCCGCCCTTCGTCAGTTTGCACCTTGTGAACAGCGTCTAGGGAAGCAGTGGTTCCTGGTTGCATCACATGATTTCAGGCTTTTGGAGAAAAGGACCCAACTGACTCTGATGTTTACAAAGTACCTATAAAACCTTGTACACAGCTAGTTCATATTCCTCATAATTTATCAACAAACACAAAAAAGTGTCTTACTTGAGAGCAAATGAGTGTGTGTGTGTGTGTGTGTGTGTGTGTGTGTGTGTGTGTGTGTGTGTGTAGATAAATTTATAAATGGGGCACATGGAGAATGGAGTACATAGAATGGAGTACACAGTTCAAGCACGTAGCCTCCATATCTTAGGAACTGAGATTTCAGATGTAGAGGCTTCAGCTCCTGCTAGTTCTCTGTTTTTGTGGGGAGTACAGGCATTGAGTAGAGATGACTTAGTTGTTTGTGGAGGGGGGGGGTTGTTCAGTCTTTATAGTGACCAAACTTTAATTTTAAAGAAAAATATATTGACTTCCTAGTGGAAGTATTCTCATTTTGAGGGACATTCGGAGAGTCTGAATTGTTCACATGTTGAAAATTTGCTCACCTGCAGATCAAAGGGAACCTCCTCAGTTTTCCGTCCATTTCATTTCATTATAGTTAGCAGTGTGACCTGAGAGTGTTGCTCTCATGTCTGGGTTGTAAAGATCATTTGAAGAAAAAAAATCTTACAATATTGAAGTACAGAATACAAAAAAAATTTAAATATTGAATTAGGCAGTCAAAAACCAAAAGTGAATTAACTATCATCTTAAAGAAGAAAAATTTTCTAAGAGGACAGAGGAGATGCTGCCACCATGAGAAGCAAGATGTAAAGGTACCGGTAAGCCACGAGCCATGTGGAAAAGTATAGATTTATAGAAATGGTTTAATTTAAGATGTAAGAGCTAGCTAGCGAGATGCCTGAGCCAATAGACCATACAGTACATAATTAATATAAGCCTCTGTGTGTTAATTTGGGTCTGAGCGGCTGCAGGACCACAAGGACACAGGAGCCAGGTGGGCACAGGAAAACTTTCAGCTACAAATGGCGCCCAACGGCTTGAGTTTCCACCTGAAACCTGAAAATATTTAAGAAGCAATTCTAAACAGAGCCAAAAACAGGTTCCTGCTTCATGTCTCATGTGGGCGGCAAAACACCACAATATGCAGGCTTGAGCTATGGTAGGTTCATGGCATGTGGACTTGACCTGGGGCATCTCCAAGCTGCACATTATACTGCATGGTGGATTTAGCCTTTGCTAGAACAGACAGAAAAAAAAAAAAAAAAAAAAAAAAAAGAGGTTTCTGAACTACACACTGCTGGATGGAAGCATAGACCCACTGCTTCCCAGAGTCGGCAGTGAGCATGGTTCCCAGAGCTGGCTGTAAACATAATTCCGCCATGTTGAGAAGCTGAGGTGGGTGGAGCCAGCAGCCAAAGATGCCATTTCAATCCTAGTAATGCTGCAGTTTAAGGCAATAGATTCACAATAAGGTAGATTCAGATGGAACAAGACTTTAAATGGTTTACAGTGTGTGTAAAAATGTATGTAGGCGAGCCGGGCGTGGTGGCGCACGCCTTTAATCCCAGCACTCGGGAGGCAGAGCCAGGCGGATCTTTGTGAGTTCGAGGCCAGCCTGGGCTACCAAGTGAGCTCCAGGAAAGGCACAAAGCTACACAGAGAAACCCTGTCTCGAAAAAACCAAAAAAAAAAAAAAAAAAATGTATGTAGGCTTAAAAGAGAGAGAAAAGGTATATATGCAGTTATGTAAAGAAACAGAAAGTTTTAAAAAAAATAAAGCCTTTAAGAGAGAGTAAAAGTAATATAAAAAATAAGCCATGTAAAGATTGATATTACACAGAGAATCTGGACTGTGTTGTCTTTAGGATTTTTAACTGCAGAGAGGCATTTGATTGTAAAGGCTACCCAGTTAAACCAATATGTATATGTTAAAGGTACCTTGACTTCAAAATTTGGATCTAAGGATATGTTGCTTTGGAAAGGAGGCTCTGCTTTTGTTTCCACAGGAAGCAAGAGACTATGCATTTGTTCCAGATTAAAATACATCAGGTTTGACCAGCCAAGACCCCCTGAAAGTCTCTGATGACACCATTGACCCAGATGATCCAACATTCAGAACGTTTTCAAGGCAACTGGCTCAGACAATGCAGCCTCACAGACTATTTCAGTCAGGACTTGACCATAATTCTTCATTTTCTCACGATCCTCATAAGAATACAGTGCCCTTTATCAGCAGCAAGTAGCCTGAAAACTAGGCCCACATTCCCAAAAAATGGATTATAGATGTTTGTCTTTGTTTCAGTTGTTGGTTACATATTGTTATTGGTCATAATCAATCTCTTTCTAAAAAAAAAAAAAAGGAGGATATTATATAAAATATAGGATATAGATATGATAAGATAAAAGGATAGATTATTGAATCTACTGTTAAAGAACAATACCTTGTTTAAAATGTTTTACATTGCTGTGGATTTTAGTTTCTTGATAAAAATTTAAAGTTAATTTTGTTATACTGTATGTGTATTTCTACTCTTGTTTAAGGTATTATGTTTGTGCAGCTCATTTAAATTATAATATATCATTAAGAAATACAGATTAATAGTTAATCATCTATGACAGTCAAACTTATAGTCATGTTAGCTTAGTTTTCCAGGTATACATAGATATAATTCAGTTATGTAGGTAATCTTCAAATACTTCAAAGACCTACAGAATATGGTATTTAAAATGTTTTAAAAACTTAGACTTTTCTGGACAATGAGACACATCTGCTCCTGGCAGCACCAATTACTTCAAGGAAGATGACGGGCACCAAAGACACTTCATATGGAGTTCATCTTCTTCATGGCAAAAGTTAGCCATTTGGACAAGAAACTGCTCTTGCCTGGACTGCTTGACAAAATGTTGTATCGAATGGACATGCAGGACTCATAGGAAGGTGACCACTGAACTTTGCAAGACAAGATGGTCCTTCAGGTTCCTACTTCGCAGAAGAAACTTCCAAACATTCTACAGGACACAGGAAAAAGTGAATGAGAGACTAGGCCTATAGGCTGAAAAGATAGATGTCCCAACATTGCAGAGGAACTTTTGGTGACTGTCCAGGCAGCCAGCTGTCTGTCATTCTATATTTTTGGAAGTTGCTTTCAATGTTCTTCCTGTTTACTTAGGTAATATTATATACTTCTGAGATGTAGTTGAAGACTAGATAATTACAATTTTCCTTGGTTATGATAAAAGATAAATTAGAGATAAAACTTTAGACTCACAAATATAGGATAGATAGAATATTTTCTTTAATTTTGCCAAATACAAATAGACTAGATATTATAACTGTAATTCTTGCTTGATTACTGTTTTGTTATATGTAATTTTACTATGTTAAAGTTAAACCCTTCCTTTTTGATTAGACAGAAAAGGGGAGGTGCTGTGGGATGTTCTGTATGCTGTGAATTTGTTGCTCTGATTGGTTGATAAATAAAATGCTGATTGGCCAGAAGCCAGGCAGGAAGTATAGGCAGGATAAACAGACAAGGAGAATTCTCAGGAGAGGAAGTCTGAGTCAGGAGATGACAGTCTGCCATCCAGGGAGCAGCATGTAATGGCACACAGGTAAAGCCATGGAACACATGGCGACATATAGATTAACAGAAATGGGCTGAGTTTAAGTGTAAAAGCTAGTCAGTGTAGGCCCGAGCCAATGGCCAAGCAGTTTTAATTAATATAAACCTGTGTGTGCTTACTTGGGTGTGAGCAGCTGCGGACTGGGTGGGACACAGGAAAACTTCAGTTACAAGAATATGTTGTTTTAATGTCGAATAGAACAAACTAATGAAGAAAGTTATACATTCAAGAATTCATCTACTATTCTCTCAGGTGGAGATTCTCAGGTGGAGATAATGCTTTTCCATGACCGGAAGAGATAAGAGGAGTGGGGATATAGTTGAAATGATGTGCCTTAGGCTAATCTCAGAATGCTCTAATAATGTCCCCACTCTAACACTCACACAAATGCACGCACGCACGCACACCCTAAAGATGGTTGCTGTCCTAGGGATCTTTTGGAAAGCTCTGGATACAGTTTTCGCTTGTCACTCTGACACGGTGGTGCTGCTGACATCTAGTGATTGAGATCAGATTGTGCTTGACTTCCAGAATACGTGTCACATGCAAATGAAAAGTGCTTCTGCCACTTTCGATGCCCTGAGTTCTTGCGGAAGTAGCTGCTATCTAGAGAAAAAGAACGCATTTCCCTTTCATCAGGAAACTTACTGGAGTTTTTCGCCTCATTGTAAACTTGTGTCATCAATGATGAAGCTATTCAGGATGTCAACAACACCAACTTGAACAATGATTCAGGATTTGGGCACAACACTGATTCCTTCTCTATTCCAAAGCAACCTGGCCTGAGATCCTACATAAGAAAATATGTGGAGTGGGAAGGGGTTTCCAAGTCCCCACCCCTGGCTAGAAAC